GCTACAGTCGCCGCTCTCATTCTGAGCATATCTCATTTTTTGAGTAGTGATCGTAGGAAGCTGGCGCTCCCCCGACCCAGCAACTGGTCTGTGAAGGAAGTATCCAGGGTCATCATGAATAGTATCATCGAGGATATTCAGTAAATTTCACGGAATGGGGGGGGTGTCGTATTCAGTGGACGGTAACTAGGAAAAATTGACTGAACTTCGCGCGATCGAAGGATCTTTGTGAGATTAGAAATATGTAAGATTGTAGACTTAAAGGCACAACCCACTTCAGCCCATTGAAGCCATTTCCTCGAGTGGCTGTTTGCGATGATCGCGGATCCACCATTCTATGGCTCGGGAGACCACTAGAAGAGTGTTAGGCCAGTGGTCCCGATTACTGGTTCTGACTGGATCTCCTAGTGTGCGCTATGAAACGGTTGCGTTTCTGCATCCTTTCCGACCGCGTGCTTTATCGCATCCTCGCTACGGCATGTCTCTTCGTACCATGGCCGACATTTGAAAAAGGATGGCGGTCCTAGTTTCAATGTGTTTCAAGTGATTTGTTTGTTTTCTTCTCCATCATCAGTTTTCTTCGACTTCATTTCTGGGCGAAATACGCACAGATTTTGATCGCAGCATGTGTCTTTAACTACGAAAGAGCTTTGAGAGGAGGGAGGGGTCGTACTGCTCTTAAAATTTGCCAGGCGCGATGGTTGGCCCAGTGTATCATTATGACTATGTTCCCTCTGGTTTACAAGCTGACGAGTGCAGTGACCATGAGCATTATAAACATGCGATCCAATACATTTTTTTTCAGAAACTCTCCTGGTCATGTTGTATTCCGCAATGTCTATTTCAATTATCCAACCAGAAAACAGATCAGAGTACTTCGTGGATTGAACTTGGAGGTAAGGTACATGTGCTGCTTACTTTCCGGGACAATAACTGCAACAATTTTATGCATGTTAATGGCTGGGTTATGGGCTGTCATGTGTACCGTTAAATTTTATGGAATATTTTTGAAAAAAAAGTAATGCTATTCAGATACAACCCGGTACTACGGTAGCACTAGTTGGTCGATCTGGTTGTGGAAAAAGCACTGTGATGGCGCTGTTGGAAAGATTCTACAATCAAAGCAGAGGTGTCATCGTAAGTGAAACGCTGGCTCAATTACATTTATTTATTTGTTTATTTACTAAGATTGCCTATTAAGTTGAACACTTTATCAAGATCTATTTCCTTGAAAATGCAAATATGGTTAATCAAAAAAAGCCCATTGAGGTCTCATGGAAGCGAAGGCACTATAAAGTAACAGTTCCAGCAGAATTTTTGTTACTTCGATGAATAATGGTGGTGCAGGAAAGCAATTGGCACTAAGCCCTACTCAAGAAGGACATCTTAAAAGTCACGTGAATCAAAAAACTTCGACGTTGGTGGGTTTGTGGTTTACATCATAGGCGGCGTTTCTGACGTCAATTTATGTTTTGTACACCATGTAATTCTATGCTCCATGTCGGGTACCATATAGCTGGCGCAGTAGTGGGCTAAATTCTTTATCAGGTATGCAGACCGGAAGTATTTTTTCTCAGATGTGTCTCGTTGGGGCGGAGAACATCAGAAAATGACATTTGCGAATCATTACAGTGAGCAAGTGTGCATCGTCAGTCAGGAACCGACGCTTTTCGACTGTACCATTCTTGAGAACATCTGCTATGGATTGGATGACCCTAAACCTTCCTACGAGAAGGTGGTTGCTGCGGCAAAAATGGCAAACATACACAATTTTGTGCTTGGGCTGCCAGAGGTAAGAAGTTTTCGATCAACGTGGTGCCGGGAATCCTTCGATTGCTCGAAATGGTGGAAAGCCTGAGAAAACGTTCTTGGGTTAGTGCATAGAGTAATATTTTGAGGAGGTGAGTCAAACTTTTGACCTCGCGCGGATTCGTAACGTGGATTTTCACGCAAAAGTCTGGCACTTAGACTTGGGGCGCAGTAAGAATAAGCCAAACTTCTTTCCATGTTATCTGTGGGAGGTACGATTTTTTAAGAGACGACATTTTTTCCCTGGCAAGCATTGACTTTTCTAGTCTTTGTTTATAGCCTACCATCAGATTAGACGGGACGATGCTGCCAGAAATTGTAGTGAAGCGTGCTATAGTGCGCGATTTCCGAAGAAATAGTACGGATCATGTTTGCTAGCGGGTTAACGAGCACACGAGTGGGCGAGAAAGGTACGCAATTATCGGGCGGGCAAAAGCAGCGAATCGCGATTGCACGAGCGTTGATTCGAGATCCGCCTATACTTCTTCTGGACGAGGCGACAAGTGCGCTCGACACCGAGAGCGAAAAGGTACGGTATTCTGTTTGGAGGGCCATGCCGGGCTAGCCATGTTTGTTAACTTTATACAATCAAAAATTGCTTTGTGTTGCTGCCAGTGCTTAATTTTGGTAGCGCCCGGCAGTAGTCAGCCTTGAAGTGGAGTACACAACTAACTTGTTGCTACGAACTTGTTGCTTTGCGCTGTAGAGAGGTCTAGGAACAGAGTGAGAGAAGAGATAATGTGAGTCGCGGAGAGAAAAAGAAGCACAGGTAAGAGATGCTGTGTGTTGCGGAGAGGGAAAGAAGTTCGAGTCGCGAGAATATAAAAAGGCAACATCACGCCACACACAAGATACCAAGGCTGGGGTGGTGCTGGTCTTTCTGAGCGGGCATGATCCAAGTTCTAAGCGCCTAGCGTTTCAGTGACACACTTGGGGGCTCGGAAGTGACTATTGTAGGGGTGGACCTGGCAGGTCTATCTACGGGAGGGACTTCTTCAGTGAGCTGAGCCCGTCCTCTGCCTTTAAGCCGAGCTGCTCTGAGTGTCCACGCCTTTTGCAGGGGCATTTTAACATCAGTTAATTGCTGAAGGCTCCTAGGTACGCAGTGGTGTGGGTTATGGGTTATATTATACAGCTGTAGTAAGGTAAGCTCAGAACAGGCAAATGTTACAACAAGGACAGTTATCGATGAACTAATTGCGTGTGGTACATATTTTTTACGAGAGAAGTCCGTTCCAGATGTCCAAGATGCTCTGGAGGTGGCCCGTCAAGGTCGAACGTGCATAGTAATTGCCCATCGTCTGTCAACAATTCAGGATAGTGATGTCATAGTGATGGTCCAAGAGGGAAAAGCCACCGACAAAGGTGAGCTCAACTTTTTTACCCATTTTCGTCTGGCCTGGGTAACTAGATAAATCAATATTTGTGAAATTCCATGACGTCATCACGTGTTTCTTCTAGGCACTCATGAACATCTGCTGTTGAAAAACGAAGCTGTACCAACGGTTATGCGAAACACAACGACTTGTTGAGTCGCAATGAGTCTCACCCATCGAT